GAATGCACTAAGAGAGGGAGCTCAGAGGAACAGATACACAGAAGAGATACTTGAGTAGAGTTCAATTTTATAAGTGGTCAGTTAATTGGGAAATATGTCAATTTTGTGACTTTTACCTCTCCACAGAACCTCATAACAACCTCATCTTGGCTACCAGGCAGTTTCTTTGTACTTTCCCTCCAGATGAGATGAAAAAGAGTTGGATTTATTTTCTAACAGCAGACTCTACTACTATAGTCAAATGATGTTATGGCAGAAAGAAAAGTTGGAAGATCAAACTTTGCTTCCATAGTCTGACGCACATCAAGGTTCATTACCAAGTGTAACCAGGAGTAACCTCAGATTCAGAGGCAATATTTTTTTCACTTGCCCTTTGAGATCTACCATGAGGTATTTGCAGTGTTACCTTATCTGACTCTGGATTAACAAGTCCTGTTTCGTTTCAGATGCTGCCTGGCAATCTCATTTCTGAGAACACGGGAGTAATCACAGGTCAATCTCAGGAAAAAAACTCAAGAAGAAGGTATCCAGAAGAGTGGTTCAGGAGAAGACTGCACTTGGATAGAGTGAAATAGAATAGGAACAACAAGAACAATATCCATTGGGCATAAATCTAAAGGGGAGTTAGAAGGGTTCCCACTTCTCAGATGAGACTAAATTTCCAATTGGCCATACTCTCAGGGTAAGACTGAATGGCATAGCATCCTGAATATGCCCATCTTGTCTACAACCAGAATCGGACCAAAGACCAAAAGTCCACACACCCCCCCCAATATCATCCAGCTTTTGGTGTTTTTAATATAGTTTATATTTACCACAGTTTACCTTATTTTGGGATAGTGGGTAACGGTTTGGCTGACCAGAGTAGACTCTAGTAGAGTCCCTAGAAAGAAAGGAACTGCATGTCTTACTCATTTTTATATTTTCACCCACCCTCTCTTCCTTCTCCACCATTTGCTTTCTCTCTCTGTTCTTTGCACATAGTAGATGTTCAACAACTGGTGTACTGAATTGAATCCAAGCCTTCCAGTCAATATTAACTCTGAGATTTACAAAGAAAGGGGATAGGATGCTACACCAGAAAAGGTGCTGAAATGCACTTTTTCTAGAAGTCTAAAGTTAGTGGGGGGGAAGGGAACATGTTGTTCCAGCCAACTTAGCAAGGTTATATGGGGTGAGAAACAATGGAAGACCTTCAGACTTAAGCCATCTTTTACCCAACCCTGCTTTTAGAATAGAACTGAACATACCAATCTGTCAGCAGCCAAGGGATGACATAAAAGGATGCTCTTGATGTTCGACATTCCTGAATTCCTTCTCATACCATGAAAGCAAAGAGATCTATAATCATCTCTTCCTGGACTGAAGTTTTCCAGGGACTGCTCATATTGCAAGCCAGGAATACCATCCAATAAAAGATGCCTAATTAATCACTAAGATTTGAAAAGGTTCTGACAAGAGATCTCTTGACTTCAGAATTGTTAAGATCTTTTTCAACTATTGGATGCCAACCCTTGCCCAATTATTTTTCCTAACAATATCTGCATCTAGTGCTCTCAGTGTAGGGACACAGCGAGGTGTCTACATCTTTCATACAGGAAGTCTGCTTCCTTCCCCAAAGTATCAACCTGACAAATGGCCTAGTGAACATCCTTGAGAAGTCCATGATAGTTATCTTCAAAACGAAAGAGAGAACTTTGTTTTCTAATACCATTTCAGGCATAATTATTCTGCTACTAACCATTGTTCCACTCTGTTCAAGCTCGAGAAGAAACAGTCCAGGACAACTTCAGGTCCTTCGCAATGTTCATTTTATCTTTCAACAATTTTTGCATGTGTTGTCAAGAACTGAGCACTGACCCAATTACATAACCTTGGCAAAGAGTCTATGCTTCTTGTATCAGCTGAGCCAGTCTAATAATCCTCCACTTAAACCAAGTACAGAGGGATAACAGATGCAATCCCAATTCTGGATTGCTTTAAACTAAACCAACATATTTAGCTGTCACTGCCCAGTACTTAAATACGCAATACTAAGTATCCCCCGCCAAAAGATCAAATCATTAGGCCACCACTTAGGTTGCATTTAGTAGCTGATTCATCATGGAGGACCCATCAAGATGATGTTCTACTTTAAGTCAGTTATTGCATTGGGCCCATCAAGTTGGAGTTTTATTTCAGTCAAGGCATTAAATTATTATAATTTCTCCTGTTTTCCACAGTAGGAGTAATTTTTGTCTCATCTCACTGGAACAGAACTCAGGTAAGTGGTAGGAAAGCTTCAAGGTTTTCCTAGGCATCTTTTCAGAGGGTGCTTGTGAGGGGGAGAGGCTGGGCCCCTTGGGAAAAGTAGAAGGCAAGGTCCTACTATAAAGAATGGTGGGCGCCTCCTTCATATATGGCAGCAGCAGAGCCAGCTCTCGCTTTAAGCAGACCAGATGGATGGAAAATTCAATCCTGACGGCAACCCAGCAGCAGTCAGCGCTCCCTGAAAACCCCTGATATTTGTGAGAGAGAATCTGGAGGACTCACTAACTCATCCTTCTCTACAGCTGTGTTAAAACAAAGGCGAGCAAAGAAAATAACGTTTGCTTTGTCCTGAGATGAAATGTCATTATCGGGCTGTGACTGAATGATACACACTCATCCTTTCCCCAAGGTCCAGACTGGGACAGCCCATTTAATCAGTCCTTGAATCGACTACACAAGTGGACTGTGAGGATGTTGTCATGTGTTACCCAGTGTCTCTCTCATAAGGACCCAGACAATAAACTCCTCCTGAGTATCTAAACTGAAATTAAGAAAAACAGTGTAACTTGGGTGCTTTCTCATTTTACCTTATTTATCATAAAATTCCTCTAAATTCAGTACCTAACCAGAGTGATTTTAACGAGATCATCTGTAATGCCTATTCATTCGCATCCTTCTAAATGGCCTTTGCTCTGTTTTATCCTTTAAGTACGTTGTATTCAATCTTGTAAACTGCTTCAAACCATATGCAATACATATATAAAATACTCCATTCTTGGGTAAATGTATGTTTGTCTTTCCTGGAAAATCTTACCTGCATATGAGTCTATTTTTCACCAAGGCTGTAAAGATCTCCTGAAATAGTTTATGCTGGGGATGTTTGCTGAAATTCCTCTCATTCTTGTAGTTTATACTGAGATGAAACAAATAGAAAAGTATTTTGTTATGAAAATTATTTAGGCTGCCTCAAAGTTACCAATGCAGAGAAAGATCACCTGTATTCATGCAAATACTGAAGGATTCTTGGATTTTAATACGAGTATATTGCTAAAGGTGAGTATCAATTATTAAAATAGAAAACAGAAATTCAGTTATAAAGTTAATATTAAAGATGACAGTCTATGAGTTTTTGTTTCTTCATTTGTCTTGTTCCTTTGCTGCTTTCAGTTTTGTCACCCTAATAAACTTTAATTTTAAAAAAAAGGTGGGAAATTTAAAAAGAAAGATTATAGTCAAGCATATTTCCCCATGTATAAGATGCACCTTTTTTTGAAAAATGTGGGGTCTAAAAACTGGGTGCGTCTTATACAGTGGTTGTAGATTTCAAATGCCATAGATGGAACAGAGGACGAGGCAATATATGAAGACAGTGATTCGTCATCAGACACAGATGAGGACAAGCTAATGGTTGGGAGTTTTGACAGTGATGAGTTGTGTGAATTTTATGATGAATAAAACTTGAGTTCAATAACTTTATGTAATACATTTTTTTTCAAATTTCAGGTCCCAAAATTAAGGTGCATCTTATACATGGGAGCGCCTTATACAGGGGGAAATATGGTACTTTATTTTACCATATTCACTAAATTATTCCCTATAAACACTTCACAGCTAAAATTGGTCAGGGGATATGTGGAAAGAAAGAATGACTGGGGCACATTGTCTAGACGGCTGGGCCACAGGCAGAGGGTCGCCCTCCCCTCACTTTTCTACCCCTCCGTGGCTGCTATAACTATGCACACCACTGGCTGTCATACATATTTCCCTGTACACAGTAGAAATTTACTAAACACAGTCTACACCTCTTCAACCATAAGAGTTTTTGGGGTTGCTGATTGTTTGCGCATGTGTGTGTGTTTAACAAAATCATTAGATAGTCCATCTTCAGCCTCTTGTTTCTAATATTACAGCCATCAGAGAGGTTAAAAACACCCTAAAACATTTCACTTTAAAACTAGGAGAGGGTAAGCGATAATGAATAAAAGGGTCACACTGCTATAGAATGTATGATACAACATTTTTGTGCATATTGAAGCAAACCAATTTTAAGGTCTAGACCAAATAAGCTGGAATTACAGGAACATACCCCCTCAAAGGCAAGCTCTGCAGCCTTGTACTGCCATCAGTACTGTCCTGGCTTTGCAATGTCATTGGAGTGTGTCCCTATCCTAGCCAGGTGAAGGCTGTGACTCTTTCTAAGTACATGGACACTGGTAGGCTGAACATGTAACAATTTTTAAAGAATTTAGTGTTCCTCACTAAAATACATATTTCAAAAATACGAACTCATGTAACAACATGCGACTTTTGTGAACTACTAAGTTCATTGTAAGATGACAGGGAAACAAAATCTAGGCCGAATAAATAAAAGATCACTCTGGAATAGTCATATGGCTATTTCGTGTCATTCATTATTTACATGGCACTTTGTGCCAAATGACCTTAGCGCACTGTAAAACTGACAGAACCAGCTCCTGGGAGGGGCGTGGCCCATGAGAATGTACAGTTTCTAGAAGGTCTACATGGCGACGGGGAGATAAACACGGGCTGACAGTTTCAATGCTAAAGGTGAGGTGCAATCCCTCCAACGGAAAGCCTCCGTTGCTTTGACAACCCCAGTCTTTACCCCCACATCTGCTCCCAGCAACGGCTGCTTTTAGGCCTGCTCATTGCTGGCATGGTGAGGACAGAGCAAAAGCCCAAGACAAAGGTTGGAATCAGCTAGCCAGGTCAACAACGTGGAACCACTTCCTCATGGAGCAAATGCCAAATGCATATCAGCAACGCATCCTGAGGCTCGCAGGTCAGTTTCACCTGCAGCCACTAACTAAGCCTGTGATTTACCCACTGTTTCTGGGAATGGTTCAAGCACTCACTAAAATTATTAAATTAAGAATCCCCATGGGAAATCTTGAAGAGGGCTTTATATTTTAGCTCCTGTGATAAATTTAAATAAAGCTTTGGGCTAATTAGAATAGGTTGCTTGAGGCAAGGGAGATACTGGGTTTCTTACCTAAAATTTTCAAGTTCAACAGCTTCTGTGGACTCGTGCCACTGACCTCGAGGTCTGTGTCCACCCTCCTTGACGGCGGGCTCAGACTTCGTCATGCTATTTTGGGCACTATCGAAGGTAATGGCTGGAAGCTACAGAAATAGAAGCACAGAATACATGAAGATAACAATTCAGCACAGGATAAGGAAAGTAATAAAATGGGGAGGAGGGGGGAGTGGGATGAAGGAAACAAGTCTTTTTCCAAACCAATAGTTAACATGATAGCTATGTCAAATGCAGGGCTTTTCCAAGATTTAAGCACCAATGCCTTAGGCTGCTTCATTTTTCCTCATAGCTTGTAACACTGCCTGTCACATATTATAGTTATTTATGTATTTTCAGTCTACCTTGATTAAAGTGTCAGCTGGACACGAGCAAGAATTGGGCTGTTTCTATTCCATGCTGTATCCCCAGCACCTCAAACAGTCCTGGCCATACAGGTAATGCATGAGGCCAGGCATTAGGAGGCTTTGAAGTTTCTCAGGTGATTCCAATGGGCAACCAGAACAGAAAGTTTTGGGATCCAGCTAGAATACTTTGGCATAGGGTGGAGGCCCAAACTGAGGATGAGTCACCTTCACTCATTCCATTCATTCCTTCATTCTTCAGCATTTACCAATCATACACACTGCTTGCCAGGTGTTAGGGATATAAAGGTAAAGACGATTTTATCACTTAATTAGTCTGAACATCCTGATTATTCAATCATATTTATAAAACTCATGAAAACAGATTATAGAATTCACCATAAGAAAAGTAAAATTTGCATAAATCAATTGCAATAACTTGAGAAAGCCCCATTTACAATATGAACTGGTAATTATTTATATAATAAATTCTCAAGTTACCAGCATTCAAAGAGTTTCACTCACCAGTATTTACCTGTCATTGGGAAAACCCTGAGAATTGTTTCTTGTACCACAGGAAAGCTGAGCAGAGTGCAAACGAATAGTCTATTCTTTCCAGAGTACAAACAAGGTGTGTTCTATAATTAGCTACATTATCACAGATGACATAAGTAGAGCATAAGTATAACAAAGTAAAGCATCCAATTTTCAGTAAATTATTCCATTCTACATGCTGTAATTATCAAATAAAGCTACAATATCTTGTACTTGTTGTCTTATTCTTTGAAGTATTTGATAGAAATTTGCAAATATACACCATTTCTTTATCCAAAGAGGGTATGTCTTACTTCCCCTAAGACAGTCAACTCATAGAATGATGCATTATAATAAGGATATTGTTCAATAGCTACCAAAAACCAAACAAAACAAAACAAAATTCTTCTTCATTGCATGCCAGCTACAGTTGAATTCTCTCAAAATATTAATAAGAAATCTTCCATCCTGTAGAACAGGATGTTGTCTTGTGGTGGTTGAAAATTGGCCCACTGAGCTAAATACTGTTTTATAGATGAGAAAACTGAGGCACAGAGAGGCTAAGTGACTTGTCTAAGGGTCATATAGCTAGCAAGAGGCAGACCAGGGATTCAAATCCAGACATTGTCCCTCCCTCTCCAATATTCTCAATCTTCCAACATTTATTTATGTATCTCCAATGATGAGAAACACATGCGTAAGTCAGCCAGACCATTTGCTTTGTAGAGTTCTACTCTTACCCAAGGTTTCCTTCATAGTGAGATGAAAATATGTCTCCCTGTGTTCTGTCTCTATCTTCTAGTCCAGCATCACCACCTTTCACAATATTTTTAAGGACTAAACTGTTTCTTTAACCATGTCTAGTGACTAGTTCTGGAGAGATGCCCCCAGACTCCACGCTGTGAAGACAAACAACCCTGCAGAGAAGCCTTCTACCAACAAAGCCTTGTGGAGTCAGCCACCTTGAAAGTGGACCCTTCAGCCACAGCTGATGTTGACAGGGCCACAGCTTCGCTGTCCCCTGATTGGAACCCTGAGCCAGAATCATCAGGCAAGCTGCTCTGAATTCATGACCCACAGAATGGGTGAGGGACAGTAAATGATCATTGTTGCTTTAAACCACTAAGTTTTAGAATGATTCGTTATGCAGTATTTGATAACAAATCCACCATAGAATGAAATAAGAATCCATAAGTCCATACAATATAAATAAATAAATAGACAAAAATGTAGGGTGAACAAAAAAACCATGCCCCAAGCTCTGGCTGCATTAAACTGGTCACACGCCCCAGGAACCACCGTAGTGTTTGGCCATCCGTGCCTGGGCATGTGCTACAGGCTATGACTCCTGATCATGTTTAAGGGCTCAGCTCAAACAGCCTCCCCTGAGCACCTGCCCAAGCCTTCCTGGTGGAGCTGTTCCCTCGCTCCCTGGTGACATTACTGTGTTGATCTCTCTTACAGCACTTTTCATAGCACTTTTCATAGTCTAGGACAATGTCCAGTTTACATATCTGCCTTTTCCCCTTGAGTTTGGCCACCTTAAGGACAGCGTCATATCTGTCTATCTTTGTGTTTCTTAGCACCTCTCACAGAACCTGGCACATTGTAGGTATTCAAATATGAATGAACTGTTGAATGAACGCTCACTTTATCCCCTCTTTGCTAAACTGATTCATCTGGTAAATTACCTCCAGATGAGTTCATCCATTCAGCATGTTTGTAGTAGTCACACTGTTTGCCAGATACTGTGTGAGAGACACTGGGTATGCAGTAAGCGGGGCTGCCATGGCCTCTACCTTCAAGGAGTTCAAAAACCTATGGGGGTGGGGTCTTAAACAAGCATGGGAACATGCTACAAAATTAGTGAACAAGGGTTCCTTGTAGTGGAAAGTAAAGATGATAGGGTGGGTCCAGGATGCCAGGAGTAACCTAGAGTATTCCAGCCACGCTTTTGCACAGGCTGGAAGGCAGAGAAAAACTATGTGTGCTCTAGGAACTGGAAGGTGCCTGAGCAGCTTGAATAACATGAGTGGAAAGAAAAGAGACTAGAGAAGGAAGCCAAGGGCCTTCCTGAGATTTTGATCATGTCATTTCTGCTTGGAAAGTTCTATGTTCCCTATCACTTATGGGATCAAGTAGAAAATGTGTAGTTGGGCGATCAGACACTGCACAATTTCTTCCAGCTTTCCATCAGAGTCTACCACTCTTTCCAACAGAAATGTCTAGTCACCATTTTGTTTTAATGCTTGTTATTTTCTTTCCTTCAGATAGTTCATTACTTTATTCGCTTCACCTAGAATGACTTTCCCATCAATTCCACTGATACAAAACCAGCCTATTTCTCAAGGACCATCACCTTCCCTGTGATTCAGGCTAAAAGTGGCTTCCTCATCCTCCTCAAAATCCATATCCCACTGTTGGTACCATTCATCCAGGATTCATGTTTCTTATCAGGTACCAGAATTGTCTTTCTACGCCTGGTCTCTCGGACCACAAGAACCACGCCCGATAACTTTTTCTCTCCACAGCATCTATCAATACCTCTTTTCTTTCAAAGGCGTTTAACGAGCTTGTAATTAATTATTTTTCTTTCTTCTATTTTCTTTTTGTCATTGCACACTAATTTCTCAGCTCCCTTTGGCTTTAAATGTAGAAGAAAAAAATCAGAATTCCAGCTCTAGGCAGATTACTTCAAGATTTGTGAAAACCTCTGGTGAAATCTCCAAACAACTTTTATAATTTTCCTTTGCTTTCACAACCCTGGAGCAATTCTTTTTCTTGAATTATTTGGTTTCACTGGGTTATGATTATTCTAACTCTGCTTACGATGAAGTGGAGGGCAGCCGCCTCAGTGTGTGTCTACCCCCATTTCTGTCAGACTGTGGGACTCTCCTACAGAACAGGAGACTCTAATGCAGTGAAGAAAGATGCACAGAGTAAACAGGACAAACAGCGAAAGTAGAATGCTGGAACTCGAGGAAACGGTAGAGCTCATTAAAGTCTGAGATGAACGACACTTAGTTCTGGTAATTCTCTGCCCAAACCGACAAAGCACATTCCTCTGATACCGGTTAATTGGCCACCTTGGCACATTTGCAAATAACAGTCCAGGGCTTGTGGGAACAGAAATTCAGGTGAATGGGCCTGAATCCCAGGTTTCCTTTTTAAACTGAGGGCTAAAAGTCTCAGAAACAATGCATAGTCCAATTGCATATTTTGATGGGCATTTCTGCCTAACTCTGACTTTACTTTGTTCCCGACATCTTGTTCTTCTTTCTTCTTTGGCCCTGGTTTTAATCTATGTATCCGCTATACATTATGTATCTTTATAAGCCTCCTTATACTCTTTCTGGAACAAGCAAGGTATCCATAAATTCTTGATTTATTCTCTCCAATATTTTTCTTCTCCTATAATTGTCTCCACATTACTTTATGGAAAGGGGAAGAGGGCATTCAGAATAACATTTATTATTTCAAAGTTACAAGTGCATAAACGTTTTATAACCAGAATTACAAATGAATTCTGTGAGCCTCGGGGCCTTCATCAAGTTGAGCACAGTTATTTTTGTTTTTTCCTGGAACCATCTACTTCCTGAATAACTCAAGCATTACAAATACACATTTTTGTATGTGTGAAATATTTTACAAAAATATGTGCCATATGAACTTGTCAGGCAACAGATTGCAAATTCTAAAATGGGTTAAGTGGGGGGAAACTATTAAGCTGACTTTAATTAAGCTGGCAAGGTATTAACAGGAAGTGGTGCTGAAAGGGGGCACATAGATGTGTGAGCATGGACTTCAAAGTTGGAAAATTACAGCTAAAACCCACCACTGGTATTTCTTTCACCCTGGCTAGAGGGTTGGCATACTCATGTGCTAATCCAATTCTTAAGACACAATTCAATATGGTAAAAAACTGACCAAGAACTCGCTGAACAGAGATACAGTGAACCAGAGGCAAAAGTCAAAGTCGCTGGCATTGGGAAATATATCATCCTGCCAGGAAATTAGACATGTAGACTAGTGTTTCCAAAACAAGGGGGTTAATAAGGCTATGACAGTGAGACAAGGTGCTTTGAGAAGAGAGAGATTCACTTCTAGAATGGAGAATAAAGGAAAGCTTTTTGGTGGAGGTGGTATCATTAGATTTGAGTCTTGGAAATAAGTCGGGTTTTATAGCAAAGAAACTTGGGAGAAGGAAATAGTAAAAGCAAAAAGTAGAAGTCTGACATTGTGGTTGCCTCTGACAGTGAGAAAGAATGGAAACTAGAACCAAAACTGTATGCTGAGTCATCCTGCTTACCTTACTAAGAAAGAATAGACATGATTCGGGGCAATCATTCATGAAGGTTTGTGAGCAGTGAACCAGAAAGATAAGGAAGCAGTGTAGAGACAGACAAAGGGTAGAGTGACTGCTGAAATAGGTGGATGAGAAGAAAGAACTTCCTGGGGGGTGGCAGTATGAATAGCAGAGAAGAAGGAACTGATAGAAAAAAAAAAAAAAGATATTTTAAGGCAGTGTTTACTCCAAATTAATGCTCATGCAACTAGTTTTTGAGCTGTACGTAATTCAACTTCCCAAGTCATTTAAAAGGTATTTCAGTGGTTAGAGGCACACACTGCAGAGATGGAGTGTTTGGGTTCAAATCTGTATTCCACCTTTAGCTGTCTGTATGACCTCTCTTGCCTCAGGTCCCTCATATATAAAAGAGGGAGGTTTGGTTATTATACAGGGTAGTGCAGGTAAAGCGCCAGGCACATAGTAAGTGTTCCCTAAAGATGAACTATCATTCTTTGGCCTTTTTATAGGCCATCAAATCATTAGAAAGTCCTTCTCCACTATAAATAAGTACATTAAAATGCTGTAGTTCTCTGGTAAGTTTGGTTGATAAAACAAAGGCCATTAGGGTTGAGTTACTACCACACAAGCTCTTAAACAAATTAAACAAAAATAATACCACAGTAGACCTTGGAGCCATGCCACCAGGGTTCAAGTCCCATCTCTGCCATTTACTAGTTGACAGTACTAAATAAGTGCCTGTTGTTGTTGTTGTTATATTATTAGTAGTACAGTAATACCTTAGTTTGCAAGCATAATTCATTCCAGAAACAAACCACTCATATTGCAAGACATCACTCATTTACCACATTAAAATGTATTAGAAATGTACACTCATCTTGCGGGACAGTTGCAAACCAAGTTATTCACAACCCAAGGTTTTACCGTATTAGTATTAGTATTGCTATATTGCTTCCCAAACTTCCATGGATGGCCTTGAATCTCATGACTCTCCAAAGTCTTACAGAGGCAAATCCAAAAAAGAAATGTTTAGAGATCAATTCAAGCAGAGGTATACCATTCTTTCTCTATCTAGTAAAAATATTAAACTACTACTATAAAAATAGCCAAAACTCAGTCCTTTCCCCTCTGTTCGGTGAGATACAATTTGCAGCAAGCCTCAAGATTGGTACTGTAGCAAGTGGACAGCGTGAGGAGAGGTGAAGGGGAGAAGAGGGAAATGTGGTAAACAGTGTTTGGGGAAAAAAAATCAGTTGTCCTAAAGCCCTGAAGACTTAAACGTCAGACATTCAATAGAAGAGCAGGCTGTTTCTAGACTGAAGAGCTTTGGGAATTAGGACACGTGGTGAGAAGCATAGGATGATACAGGACCCAGGCATGAGAGGAGAAGAATGAAAAGGCTGTGGATGCCAAGTCTTGGCAGAATCTGAACCAGGTATGAGAGAAACAGCTGGATGAAGAAAGACAAAACATGTGAAAGAACAAAGAGAAGTAGGCATGTCGTTCATAAAGATGTTAAATAGATCCCTTGGGAAAGACGTAATTTCTCTTTTATTGATGTAGGCACGTTCTTTGAAAACACTACCTGTTGTTTGCTTGATTGAACATTCAAAAGGCACCGAAGTCTTTTAAGATCTGAATAGTCCCTAGAAGAAAGAATGACACAACATCAACCAGCAGAAGATTCCAGGTGAACCAGTCACGTTACCCACCGACGGCATTGCCACTTGGAGGTTTGCTTTTAATAGACTGAAACCTGTGCACACTAAACACCCTTTAGAACTCTAGAAATGCTCAAACATTTTCAGTAAACACTGTAACCCAGAGGAGCAGTTGTCAAAGGTCTATCCTACTTCTCAAAAAGCAATTAAATCTGGTTGCTGGCCACTGCCTGAGTTACTAATTAGCGGAGACTCATGATGGCGTTACCTGGTGGTGATCCCTTGCTGTTTTTTATCGGTTGGTTTTTCTGTGGTCTTCACCTTTTTGTCTTGATCAGGCATTGTAAAACGTCAATGCCCCAGAATCAACATTGCATTCCCTTCAAAGTAAACCAGAGGGAAAAACTTTAGTGGGGCTGTGTGCTCTGAAATAGTCTCGATTAATGTAGGCAAAAGTCACTTATATTAATAACATTCATTTACATATGCAAAAACTAACATTTATTTCTAATACAATAATAAAAATGTTAATATAAATACCATTTACTATTATCACTCAAAGGCCTTTGGATACATTCAGGGTATGGTTTATAATTATAGTAGCCCATGGGTCTATATTTTCTGAGTCATCCTTGATTTCAAATATTCTGAGTCATTGCCCCAACAGGTATTGTTCTGCACGTCAGGGAAAGTGCCATCATTTGGAGTTTCCAAAATATGTATCTATAAGCAAATATCTAAAGCCCAACTGATGCTTTTATGCCTTGTTACTTGTCTTTCTTGACAAGTATCCTTAACTGTATGCTGCTAGTTCAGAGGGTTCCTCCCTTGTCATGCGTCATGCCCATAATAGTCTCAGAGAAAGTCCCATCCACTCGCAAATAAGCATTACAGTGTTGAGGGCAACACACAAAATGTCTTTAGATTTCCAGAATTCCTACAGCTTTCAAGCTGCCACCTGAATCCCCATGTGGATCAATTCTAGTCATAAGTTCTTCTGCAACAACTGGGTCAGTCTTGCACAGCCTCTGAACTCACTCAGCCATCCTGTTAAAAACAAGACAACAGGCCCAAAACGGGGTTGCTTATGCCAAGTTCCATGCCACTAAACCAACACTTAATTATATTCTCAGCTCTCCCAGAAATGGAAACTTAAACCAGCCAATCAGGAATCACCTGCTCGGCATTAGTTAGGTAATCTACCTGATAAACCTATCTCATCCCCTTTTGGTAAAATAATCTTTCAATAACTGACCTGCTTTTTGCCTAATATAACTTCCTTGTTTCTGTTCCCTTATGCCTACAGAAGTCTTTCATTGTGTACAGCAACTCAGAGCTCCTTTCTATCTGCTAGATTGGTTGCTGCCTGATTTATGAGTTTCTGAATAAAGCCAATAAGATCTTAAAAATTTACTCAGTTGAATTTTTTTTAACAAGCAGGATAGTGAGGCTGGTCAGCCTGGGCATACAACCCAATAGGCACTTTGATCTTCTGACTTAAGCTTTGTAGTCATCATGGTCACCCTTCCTAGAATAAATTTTAATGCTATTCCCCACTCCCACTCAAAATACAAGTATGGACAGAGTAATAAACAGAGCAATTTATTTGCTTGCTTTTTTTTCCCTTTAATGAATTTATTCAATTGTTTTAGTTTCCATACTAGAAACAAAAAGAAAGCTGAAGATACCCACACTTTCAATTACATAGTATATACAAAATTAAATATATTATTGGTTTCATTTGATTGTATATAAAATTATCCATTGTGTTTCAGTGCCACAGCTTGACTTCGGTGTGCTTTTCAGGCATGAAAAAGCATGCATTATTGTCTTATAATTGCATGCCTCAATGTATTATGAAACTGATGGTCAAAATCCAAGTGTTTCAGAGGTATTTAAAAAGGAATTGCCAATGGGTGTTTCACTGCAACAGAATATAGTGAAATTTAATTTTGTGAAATGTACAAAGACAGTTTAAGTATATAAAAATCATTTTCCTAATATACTTGCCATATTTGTGACAGAGTTGAGCTAGAATGAATAGTTGGGGAATCAAGGCTCTCATCACAGATGCACACCAAGAAAAGCACATTATTAACATTTTAGGATTTTGCCTACATAACACCATGGAGTCACCCATTCAACAAATATTTAATGAACATTTACTATGTCCAATCTCAAATTGAAAACCACTAAAAGGTAAAAGAGGCTAATCACAGGTATATGAGTCTACCACAAACAAAGAAAAACTCACTTAGGAATTTTAAAATATGTTTTGTTTGATATTCAGGTAGAGATTTGATTTAGCATCAGTTTTACTCAAAAGAAGGAAGAAAGGAAGGAGGGAGGGAGGGAGGGACAGAGGATGGATTGGATGGATGATCTGTAACTGTAAATTATTCTTTAAAAGCAAAAGATTCAAGTACTTTTTATAGTAAGATATTAAGTTTCCCAAAAGTTCTAAAATAAATGGAAAGCCTGTCAAAATAAATAGAATCGAATTTCACTTTTCCCTCAAGGACAGAGGTGACATTCCACATAGACACACTAGCCCCATGGCTTCAAATTCCTGCTCAGACCATAGCTCCAGACTGTCTGAGAAGTAGGAAATAAAAGCCACAATGATTAGCACATGAAAAGTGTAAATCTCAGGCTTCTGCTCAACACCCTGCCTTACTCCCTTGTTTAATCCCTATAATTTTATTGACCCGGTATGTGAGCAGGAAACAATCATCTAATAGTTTTATCGGTTTAAGATTAACGTCTACTCTGTGAGCTGGAAGAATGAAAATAAATAACTCTCTGGAAATGTTTTTCACTTAATTAAACAGTAAACAAATTTACCAGAAATCAGTCGAAACAGAAAATTGCCTTTAGGATAAAAAAAAACAAAATCCTTTCCACTTGATGGCTATTAATATGAAAACTATTCTGAAAAAAATTTTTTTGAGAATTTGGGGATGCTTTAAATATTTAATCCAATCTCATTTTAAAATAACAAACATAATGACACTATACCAATGGCTATAATCCAAAATGGGGGCATGGTATGCGGTGGCCAGGAGGGCAGTTCAGATCTTAAGTCAAGTTGCCCAGGGGAAGACACTTATTGAGGAAATGTTCCCAGGACAGGTCAGGCAAGGGTGCTCCCTGAGGCGAGAGCTCTCCAGGAGGTAGTTTCATTGTGATTCCAAGGGGAGGGCTGGGTATATAGATTATGCCTCGCAGCTATCTAAACCTGAGGCAAGGGAGCCTGGCTTCCGTGCTCCTGTAACCTTCAGTCATTGGTTAAAGGCCTCCAAGGGAGGTCATAACTGAGGTAAGGAGATTCTAGTAGCTTGCGGGGCACGTGGGGGAGTCCTCCAGAAAGAGAGCTACAGGAACTGGCTGTTAGAAGTAAAAGAGCATTGACGCCAATACCTGGAACAAACAGTCATAAGGGACGGCAGATGCTCTGGGTGGAATGCCCATGTGATCCACTGTGATCACCTGCTCCACTGCAGGAGCTGTGGGTGATGAGGGTACAAGAAGCTCTGCTGCGGACACGCGCTGAGCAGGGCCTCCTGCAGTAGCTCTCAGCTACTGAGTACAACTTCTCCTTTGCGTGACCGCTCCAGATGCCAGCATGATCCCATGGCCTAGCAGCTAGCTTGGTCCTTGGCCCTCTTCTCTTCCCTATCTAACCCTCTCCCTAAGGGAGCGCTAGCAGTCTCGTGGCTTTATGTACCATCCATAGTTCCAAATTTATATGTTCACCCCTAACCCCATCCTGATCGCCTCAATGCAAGTCACCACCTGGGTATCTACTGGGCATCCCAAACGTAACATACCCCCAAAAAAACTCTTGACTCCCACCCCCAGCACCAAGTCCCCCTAGTGCTCCCCATCTCGGTCACTGGCACCCCCAGCTAGTCCAGACCAAGTTCCTGATCCCTCTCGTTACGTCCCACATTCAAGCCAGTCAGCCAGCTTTCCTTGCCTCCAGACCCACTGCTATCACTCTATACTCTGAGCCATCACGTCATATCTCTTCCTGGGACCACTGTCACCACCTCCTCACTAGTCTCTCTGCTTCTACTCTTGCTCCTCTATAGTCACAGGAGCCCATGGGATTCATTTAAAATTTGAATCAGATCATGCCACTCTGTGGTGTATAACCTTCCCGCGGCCTCCTATCGCACTTAGCTTGTCACCGTGACTTTCACCTCTGGGAGCACCTCGAGCCTCCCCCACTTGCTTAATTCCACTTCAGCCTGCTGGCTTTCCCCCTGGCCCATAAACATGCTGGCCTCACTCCTGCCTGAAAGCCTCGGCACTTGCCACTCACTGCTTCCCCCTCGTGCTCTCAGGCTGGCTCTTTCGTGTCACTCAGGTCTCAGCTCAGTCTCCTTGTCAGTCAGGGCACCTCTGACGAACCTCTGCAACATATTTAACCCCACACACTCATGTCAACTGCGTCACCCTGTTTTATTTCCTGCCGGAGCTCATCAGTGTCGGGAATCCTCTTGTCCATGTATTGGTTTCCCTGCACTAGATCCTAAGCCCCATGTGGGCAGAGATCGCGTCTTGTTTTATCCACAAGATATAGATCCCCGGCATATAGAATAGTACTTAGAACAGCGCATGGCAAAGTGTAAGCACAGTATAAAAACTCAGAAAATATTTGCGTCAGTCTGTAAGGAGTGGCTTAGTATTATTTCACCAAAGTTTTTGAATTATTTGCTTTTAAAAAATTATTTAATTTTAGGATTAGCACCTCCTTTGACCCACACTCCCCAAGCCTGCGCTCCTCCTCGGTGCCCAAGAAACTCTGTACTCCCCACATTGCAAAGCTACGCATGAAATACTGCAATTGCCTGATTACCCCATAAGGTCAGGGATTGGACCTCCCTTATTCACCAGACACCTGGGAGGCAAACAATAAATATTTATTGAATAAAAAAAGGAATGAATGGATAAAATAATTATTTTTTAAAAAATAACCTGAGTCATTACTCTTTTAGTTCCAAAAAAAAGCCAAAATCTATCATAAGCCATCCTTATAAACCAAATCAATTGATGAGTATTTGTAATGTTATAATAACCTTGAACACACTCAGGAATGATCTCACTTTTTCAGACTTTAGGAGGGAAATCAGAGTTCTCTAGTAGATAATATTCATGAACAGTGCTTCTCAAGCCATCTATAAAGCTTTTTTTTTTTAATTTAAAATCTATTAAGAGCCAGTACTTTGGCCCATATTCTATTCAGCAACATAAGTGCATTTCTCATGTGCTTGGATATCTCGGCAATGTTGAATTGCTGTAAACATTTCTAAATGCTTCCTCTTAATTTTACACTTACCACTCACAGACCAAGTAACATATCAGTCTGAAGACC